CCACCGCCCAGTGATCCCTTTGACAGTGACCGCGTTTAACCTGTTGTGAGCCAAGTGCCCGAATGAGTTCTTGACTTACCTCTGGATAAGCCTGTGCCGCCACCCTCCAGCCTCCAACTTCAAGAGGACAGCAGTTCGGGACCGGGGATTTAAGCTTCCCTTATTCCGCCCTGATGCTGAAAACTCCCCTCCCACAGAGGGTGGTCAGAAAGGGCATTTTTGCCTTTTCTTAACCATTCTCTGGAGTTGGAAGACTGAATGTTGGCATGAACGGGGGAAATTTCTTGAATCCCCCTTCCAAATCATAATGGTCTCAAAGGAGGGGGGCTTCCTCAAGCAACTGCCTGTGCTAAGAAGAAGCATGGGCTTTGAGGAGCAGCCAAGGATGCTTTTTTAAGCATCACCGAAAATAAACAAGCCCCTCAGCTATCTCAGCTGAAAAAGTAAGGTAGCTCCTCCACTCTGGAGATGTGACATCTGCGTGTCAGCACGAGGCATGAAAGCAGCTGTGGGGCAGAGGACTCATCACAGCAGGGGTGCAGAGGAATTGTGCTGCAGAGGAAGCAAGCGGGACACGTTGACGATCGCACGGGCGGCCGGGTTTGGAGACCAAAGTGGTCAGGCAGACGGTTGCAAGCAGAACCAAGCAGGGGCCAGGGCGAGATGAGGGTGCGGCGTGCTCTTAGTATCACAGGGGTGGGGAAGAAAAAGGCTGGAGCCCCATTCACAGCCTTCAGCAATACACTTTTGCCCCCACACTGTCCAGCAGCTTTTCAGGAGGGAAGGAAGGAAGAACCGTGCTCCCATTCCTGCTTCTGGGAGCCACGCACCGCTCTGCCTCCATCTCTTGCATGTCTATAAAATGATAGGGTTTGGGGATGGAAGTCCAGAGGGCATTCTTGGGCTGGTGGCACTCGCTGAAATCAAATTAAGGCCTGGAGAGTGGAAGTGTTGTAGCAGTACCAGGTATTTCAAGGGTGGGAGCCAGTCCCAGGGCATGCCAGGGGGAGCTGACGCTGCATTTATGCTTGAAAACTGCTTCATACATTATGGGACCGATGCAAAGTCCCTAATGAAGGCTCCTGTTTCCCAGCAACTATTGAGCACTGTACTCGATGCTATGTTAAATATTTTTAACCTTAAAGGGAGCGCCTGGGCACCAGTATGTACTGGGATCCTTGTGTGCTGGTAGGGAGGTTGTAAACTTTCCCTCTCATCCACTCCTGAAAAGGATTGTGTGTGTGCTTGCTTTTTTGGGGGAGAGAAGTCGTTGTGTGAGAAGGTTTAGAACAGAAGTAGAGTTGGAAGGGGCCTCTAAGAGTGTTGTGTCCAAGCCCAAGCTTCACTTCCGCATGTGGGCACCCATCCAGCTACAGCCCTGAACCTTTCCAGCTTAAAGGTAGTTCAACAGACTATGCAGGCCTTCCCCCCTTAAGCGAGGAACTCCCAATTTGGATTATGTCCTTATTTCAGGGTGAGAAATGAAGATCAGCTGCTCACTATGAATTGCACCTAGCTACTTGCTTGGTCTTCAGAGGTTACGATGCATAGAAGCTTCTCACTCCATGGAGAGGCTCACTTACCAAGTATCAGTGAACATCACTGCTTAATGGGACTGCTGGTTTTTAAAGTTAATCTGGGCATTTCCCAAGCATGGTCTCTCTACCAGCCTGCTGCTACACAGATTTCAACAGTTGCAGACAAGATAGCTTGACTAAAAAATGAAGCTCAAACCGTTCCCCCCACCCTAAGCAACGGCTGCCCTTCACTTGGATGTGTAAATCTAAAGCACTGTCGTGGCAGAAGTGCTGCTATAAGGACAAAATGCTTTCATCCAAACTGTAGCTTACTATTCAGCTCCATTTGATCATTATCCTGGAGCTGTAGGAGGACCAGAAAGGATCCATCTAGCCCCATCCATTGGCCAAAGAGCAAGAGCCCTCATTAGGGCAAGAAGACTAGCCAGGGAAGGCCAGACTGACCTGAAGTGCATTTAGCCTGCTTAGAACTCGCCAACTTGGCCTGCTCTCTCCTCGCTCTTCTTTTTCATCCACACCCTTTCCGTGTGTGTCTGTCATCATAATTCCTAAGCCTAAGGACACTGCCTGGCCCTTTTTTATTGGTATGAGCCACTTTGGGAGACAATAATTGCTGGAAAAGCAGGACAGAAATGCATTTAATAAATATGGGTCTGTATACTGATTGTCCGGCATGCCAGCTGCGCCTTTCCTGGAGCAAGTAGACCTGGACTGGATTATGGTAATGCATTCACTCTACATGAGGTTACCTGTGAAAAATCCTTCAGATACAAAATGGCATTTTAAGAATCCTAATTGGTGCCAGATTTGGGGAGCATGTGACTAGGAAAACATTAAACATAAAATGATTAGAATAGCAAATCATGTGAGGGTGGCTAACACAGATGAAAGGTCAGCGGTGACACTTGAAGAATGGGAGCGGGGAGCGAAGAGAGTTGGCCTGCTTGAACCCCTAAAAGCTTATACTGACCTGGAGATGGCAATTAAGGGATGCACATGGTGAAGTTAAAAGCCTTGCCATACCGTATGGGAAGAGAGCAGGCATCTTCCCCGTTTTCCTCTCTCCAGAAACCCCCTCCCTGCAAACTCCCGAAAATGCTGCCGTGCTTCTGCTCCGGGTTGCCTGGAGCCTTGAGAAGGAGCACTGCTGTTAGGGGTCGGAGGCAATGCTGAAACTTGGTGTTGTCATCTCCACGTGCTTGTGTTTCGTTTTCCAACTTGATGTTGTTGCTTTCGAATCACAGTAATACTTATTCCAGCCGGTTCCCTTTATTTTTATGCATTGGGTTTGTTTGCAAGATTAGCAATACAGCTACAGAGCACCATGCAGAGGGACTAAAGGTGCACTCTGTGTGCAGAGGCCTTCTTTTGTTCATGAAAGGATGCTTTGTGCCTTCTGCTTGAGTGCTTTGTGGAAAAGAAAAAGCAAATGGAAATGTTCTTGTGTGCGTAGGAAAACTGCTGGAGAACCTAACGGTTCCAGAGGTTCACAGACTGTCTTGCAAGTATTCGCAGAACAGCAGCAGTGGTGCAGCTGTCTCTCCAGTTATTTGGCCTCCACTCTGTTCCTTTTCACTTTTAATACTATCTGTGCTGGTTTGTACTACAGTTTGCACATCACCACGGGCACCCACTGAGTGGAGGAATAATCTAGCATCAGACTGGCTTTTTATGTCTTGACCAGGTCCGTCGGAGTCCATGCCAGTTGCTTAAGAACCTTGTATTAAGAAATAAACTGGTTAAAGTGTAAAATGGGTGATAAATTCCTTATGATTTGCATGACAAAGTAATGTGGCTGATTTTAAGATAGAGATTCAGATATGCATATGGAAAGTCGGTTGGCAGCATCAATGAAGCATGCAAATAAGATCAGATGAGCAGATCACTTTAAGAAAAGATTTGACCACCTTTTAAGGAACATCATCGAAAAATTGCAATTAGTATTAAAATTAATTGGATTTCAAAATGTATCTGTGGATTCTAATCCCTTGATGTTTCTTTATTTCTACTGAAAATCCTTTGAATTCCCTAAAGATAAAGATAAAAATGATTATTAGAGGATTTATCTGTATGTGATGTAGGGAAATGTGAAAAATCAAAATGGAAAGCAACTGTTGCAAGTACCAGAAAATTATGCTATTAATTTAAGTGTCATCAGAGCACAAAAGATCACATTCCAAGACAGTGTGAAAATTATTAAAATACTGGAAATAATAGTACTTAAGATGAAGATATTATGCTCTAAGATCTGGTTAAGTGACTGACACTATTATATCACTTCAGGTATTATAAAAGTAACAAAATGCTTTTAAAGATAATAAGCGTTACATTTTGAGATTGGCAGTATTCACACTTTTCTGCTTAAGTGCTTTCTCACTTTAATATAATTTAATAACAGTAGGGGAAAAAATCCAACATTTTCTTTCTCAAGCGCTTCCCTTCCTCTCTTCAATATTTTTTTCTATATATAAAATAAAAAAGCCATCTAAGCAATTTTTAAAACATCTAAAACTTCATATGTGTCTTTTGGCATTATGAAGAAGCTTGGTAAAAAGACCCATATTTATTATTGCTCTCAGAAAGTATAATGTCGATTTTTAATACTTCAGAATTTAGAACTGTACAACTTTGCTTCATAAAAATACCCCATTCCAAATGTCTTGCTACCTTCAGATGTAACTAAATTTCCATATTTGGAAGAAAAAACTTGGATTATACAGTTGGGTGATACACAAGGCCTTATCAGATGTCTCTGCTAGGCCCCCCAAAGGAGAGCCAGAGGTCTCTGAGACTCTGTTTTAAAAGCCGTGATAAATGTAAATAGAGAATAACCACACAAGTCTTTCCCATCTTCTTGAAACATGAGTCAGCATTTGGTTCCCAACACACATTTTAGTTAGGAATAAACCCCACTTCCTTGCAACTCCTTTAATCGCAGCATTCTTCTAGACTTCCTGGTATTCCAGAGCCCCTAATGTTTAATGCACAATGTTGTGTAGGAATGAGTTGCAATGCAAACCTGAGGATGATCTCATAAGCAGCTATCAGTCTTTGTAGGGTTGTTCACTTAAAATTGGACACTGGTGGAAACTACCACGTTGGGAGCAATAGAGTAAAATAAGTTAATATATATATAAAATACCAGTTTTGAATTTAAAATAGTTTTATACATGTCTAGCTTTTCCAATCATTGTGGAATACTGTGTGTTGAAAATATATATAAATATATATTTAAATGTGTTTAAAGATGAATTATATAGTGAAAAAGATTACAGTATCTATGTAGCCCATTCAAAATTGAAAAAAGTGTTTTCTAAAAAGAAAAAATCTTTTGCCCTATATTTTACATTTAGATGTATGCTAGACTTAAAAGTTGCAACAGGCTGTTATTAAAAACCTATTCTCTATTTCTGTTGGTAAATTGCCATCTATGAAATTGGTTACACTTTCCTTCTCTCTTAGAGCTCCTTATTAAGCATTCACAGTCAGTTCTTGGCAGCATTAGAATCATTGAAGGAATTTTGGAATGCTCTAGATGAAATTGATGAGAAGACCTGGGTACTTGAGCCAGAAAAACCCACACGGAGCGCCACAATGCGAAGAATTGCCATTGGTGAGAATTTTAAAAAGCAACCCCTTATTGGCTTCAGATTAATGTAAATAAAAAGCACAGAAAAGAGAAAAACATTTGAAATGGTTTGTTTTGATATATAAAAATCCTTTTAAACAGACTCACTGGTATCTGCTATTAAATCTTCATATGGTTTCTTGGACAGTGCAGTATCAAATGTTTCACAATTTAGATAGTAAGATCCTCGAGGCAGACACCTTCCCCCCCTCTCCCGTACATTATTCCCTAAGGCAGCTGCCGTGTGTGTAAATTTCAATAACAGGGCTGTCACTCAGTTGATTAAATTTGCATAAGACACTGTTTATTAAGGAAAGAGGCATCCTCTGGACTGACTCAAGAAGAAAGCCTGTTCAAGCATTCGCCTCCATGTGTTCTCAGGCTGGGTGGTATGAGGAGCTGTGCTTTGGCCCCACCCCTCCTCTCTGGCCCTTGCAGCCGCAGCCCAAACTGAAGGAAGAATTGGCAAGTGTGAGCTGAATGGGCTTCGAATCCTCCACACCGTGGAGAACGCTCTTTGCGCAGGGCTCCCAGTCCTGCAGATCTTCCAATCCATCTGCAAAGGTCCAAGGTTGCAGCTGATGTGGACCAAGGCGATGGAGCCAGAATTTAGTCACACTTTAGTCCCACTGAAAGCAATGGAAGAAGTCAGTCTGAAAGTCTCTAACTCATTCTTTCCATGGTCATCTGTGCACTCTCACATGTGGGTTCTGCGGCTGTGTGGAGCCTGTTGTTGGAAAGCTAAGCTAAGCGTTAGTTTGGGTGGGAGCCCCTCCCTGCCTGTTTCCTGCATCCATGCGAGGAACTCCCACTCATTCCCTCCGTTCCATTGAGACTGCCTGTAGGTCCCAGGTGTTGTACTGCTCCAGTCTCACCCCTGTGGCCCCTGCAGAGTGGGGCTAGTTGTCTTCAGTTTGACACTGAGTTGGGCCAGTGGGAAGCTTGTTGAGCATGCACTGATGACCCTTTGAAGAACAACAATTCTTCTTCTCCTGTTCTTGCAGGAGAGGTAGAATGTTCTGATAAGTGGCCATCCTAACCTTTCTTGGAGTGATAAGCAGTCGATGCTGCTGAGGTCTAGGATTGGGCTGATTCCTCCATCTCATTTTGGAAACATGAAATAGCGAGAGCTGAAGCCTTGGGAAAAGTCGGAATAAGAGACTCTCTCTATCATCCCCTTGGAGAGTGATGACTTGAACTCTGACATCAGTGTTGGGGACGGAGCCATGCTTATGTGTGTGATGCACAGAGACCACAAAGAGGAACCATGAATTTCTCTGGATTCAACTGTTTCTTTCTGGAGGATGCATATAGATGTCACAGCAGGCAATATCATAGAAGAAAAAACACTCCTCTTCCACAGAAGGAAATGTCTCTTCTAAGATGGCACCTGGCATCCATGATTTTTGTAAAGACTTGAATTAACCGTTTTAAAAAGTCTGTTGTAATATTTAGAGCAGGGGTCTCAAACTCATGGCCCGCGGGCCAATTGCCGGGACGAGCAGGGCACTGGGGAGGGGCCCTGCAGCCTTCAAAGCGCCGGCGGCACCTGGGCCGGCCACGGGATGAGTGGCCCACCACCACCGCGGTGGTGGAATACTTGATGCGGCCCAGCCTCACCCAGACTCTACTTCCAGCGTCCCCCAGTTAAGTTGAGTTTGAGACCCCTGATTTAGAGGCACTTCAGTTGATTGAGATTGGAGTCCTGTACAGATAATTGTTAATCCCAACCTCAGAGGATTAAGGATATCCTACAGAGGATAGGAGTTGACAGGTGACCTTCACCTCCCCGCTCCTTCCATCCTGCCAATTCACCCTGCTGTGCTTTGGACCAAGAGGGAAGAAGGCTGGAGCATCTTCAGGAAGTCTCCTCCCCTCCCCTGACTCCTGGAGTGTCTCCTTTGCCTCTTCTTTGAGGTCAGTCCTAGCACCTCGGAGAAGCAGATGGCATGGTTCTTTCTGTGGCGGCTGCAAGTGGGAGGAACTGGGATCTGAGTGCGGATCTCTGGTTTGGAGGTTGGTGCACTTTTCCAATCGCAGATCTGGGGAGCTGAAAAATCCCATGGGGACCACAAGATCCTTCTTCAGAATGTTTCCATTGACTAGCCGAGGAGTCAGCTAGGCATGTCAAGCCCGATTAGTAATTACATGTGTAAAATATTTTGTCAGTACTAAGAAGTGGGATGGAAGAACAAGAAAAATGGGTGGGTTTGTGACTTCTAAGGTAGTCAGTGCAAAAACTGGCAGTGGAGAGGGTATTGTTGTATTGTTTTTAGAAATGATGGGCACAGAAATCTGGACTCAAAGCCTGAACTTGAGATAATTATCGCAGATGATTTTCCATGTGTGAAGTCCAGAATGAAGACATTGTTGTTTTTAAATCTGTCTGTCTATATCCATGTATGTTTCAGGAAACAACGTTTCAGTTAATATAGAGGTAGATCCCAGACATCCGACCATGCTTCCCGAGTGTTACTTTCTTGGAGCTGACCATGGTAGGGACTAAACCTTTTTAAATTCCCATTCTGCCAATCATAACGACTTTTCTGTTGCACTTACATTATATGTTTCTGCAGGCTAACTTTATAGTGAAGCAGGTGTACTTGTTTCAAGCAGCCAACCTAGAAGCACATCAACTTAGCTTTTGGAAATTTTTAGAAATTGCAAATGCTTGCAGTGAGAAAGCAATTGCAAGAGGCAGTGCATTACACGATGGGTTTGCAGTGCTTAATAATGGCTTACTGATCCAAAAGATGCATTTGTGCAGTGCATTTTTTTCAGTGTCCTGCATGTTGAAATTCACGGCATTGTAGCAAACCCCAAGAAAATACTAGAAATGTACAAAATCAAAATACTAGATGATTTTGTATGTTTTTGTTGTGAGCCGCCCCGAGGCTTTGTTGCGATGGGGGCGGCATAATAATGTTATAAATAAATAAATAAATAAATAAATAAATAAATAAATAAATAAATAAATAAATAAATAAATAAATAAAATGTAGGTTTGTGGAGATGTAAAAGGATGCTAATGACCAGTATCCACTTTGGGTTCACCTTTTTAGCCTTGTTATGCCATCTCAAACATGTCCATTCACTTTTCTATATCATAGTTTTGAACACCGTGAGTACCTCAGACATTACATGCTTGAGCAGCTGTGTAGTTCTGCATAGCTTGCTGCCTTTTGAGTCAATGTGCTAAAAAAATTAGGTAGGATTGGAAAAATAGATAAATTCCCAGTTGTTGAAGGAAGTTGTTCTCTGCTGAACAGGGCAGCCAGTTCAAAACATTAGTGTAACACTGCACTTCTAGGCTGAATCATTCTTTCATTTTTTACTGTTCTTCTTGCATTCTTTTCAAATATATATAAAGTTTTTTGAAGAGTTTTAACACACATAATCCTTGTTTACAGTGGTAAATCCTTTGAAAATCAAGCTGAACAGTAACATACACCTATGGTAAGTGTGCTTGGTCTTTGCTAGTAAATTTATTCCTTTGTTAGAAAATTAGCAACAATATTTTCCTTTTTTTTCAGGGATCCAGAAATTAGTTTGTTACAAAATTTGAAAGAAGTTTTAGAAATTGATTTTCCATCTCGAGAAGCTCTTCAAAAATCTGTAAGTCCCTGCCTCTTTATGTTCATATTTTGAGTGCCATATTTTCAACCATGGTCAACCATCCAGAAAGCTTTTGCTATTGGTTAATATTGAAATGAAATGAAACAAAATTAAAAATATTGGACTAGAGTGGCCACTCTGTGATAAAATCTGGAAAAGAATAGTGGTAGTTAATATTTGCAGTAAAGACAGCTCAAAGATATTCATGATCAGTGAATATCTGATCATGTGAATGTGATCTGATCATGTGAATGTGATCAGTTTCTTCTTAGTATCACTAGGTGATTTTGAAATATGGGCATCACTTAGAACAGGGGTCTTCAAACTTTTTGAATATGGGGCCAGTTGAAAGGCTGCGGTGACCGCCACATGCCAGTGGGGGGGTGCCTGGGGGCGCGGGCCAGTGAGGTGCCGTCAGGCACTCGCGAGGCGGCATCGGGCACGCGCGGCGGTGGCTCGCTTAGAGATCTCCCAGCGAGTCCAAAACCATCTCCAAGCGAGCGAGCCACCACCTCCCCACCTGGGCAGCAAGCGCGTGCATGGGCGGCAAACAGCGGTGCTGGCCGGCCGGATGGCCATGGCGGGCCGGATCCGTCCTGCGGGCCGTAGTTTGAGGACTCATGACTTAGAAGATAGCAAAAAAGCTAAATATAACTTAGAATGTGGCTAGGATGATTGTATAATTACTGTTTGCTGTGAATTCATTTATTAATTAATATTCTGAACATGTTACCCTAGTACATTACTGATATTCTGGTGATATTTCATTATAATTGTAGAATGTCCAGATCAAATAAGGCCTGTTTCCCACAAAATGGCCACTAGATTGAGACCAGTTGAAACTATGACTAGATAAGAAAATTTCAGAAAGCTTGTTTCAGTTTACATTCCAAGATTCTGCTTCCTCACAATTTTATTTATTCATTAATTGCATATCTATACTGAATAGCTGAAGAACTCTGGGCAGTTTATAATAATTAAAACCATAAAATACAATAAAATGACAACATAAAAACTGAAAACTACAATATAAAATACAAGTAGAGCCGAAGTAAAACCTAGGAGCAGTACAAAGATTATTTCTTTGTTCCTTGATAGCTGTGCTCTGGGGTTCTACGTGGCTTTATTCTCCCTCCCATGCTGTTTAACATCTACATGAAACAACTGGAGATCTGGGCTAAGTGTCCATGCAACAAAATTTTGAAATACTAGAATTTCTGTGGAAATAAGGTCTCCACCTGGATCTTCTTAGTAGCTACATACCTCAGTTCTGTTGCCAGAGACTTTCAGAGATGGGCCACTGAGGACAAGAGACAGTCCTTCACTTTTCTGAAGGATAACATTGTGTCATCACCAGAATGCATTCGTTATTTTTAAGGACTTCTCTATGGATTGTGGGATCTGCTACGCTTACCGCCTTGACGGGGCCATTCCGAACCAAGTCTGTGATGACGCCCGCTGCGGTCAGCCTTTCCATGAAGCTTGTTTATATGAGGTACTCGCAAGTGTCCAGGACCGCTCTAGGTGTACGATTGTCCACACATGGATTATGTCACTGAAAACGGAATAATTACAAAGTGTTTTTCACAAGCGAATGGATGGAGGGTATGTCATAGCCAGGCCTACACACAGGCAGAAGAAAGCAGCGCTATGACTCCTGCCTTGAGCGAGCCCTGCCTGTGAGAACCTATCGGGGAATTCCTCCTCTCCCTGGACAAATTGGGCAAAGCTATCCTTGCAGTGTTTCTGCCCAAAAAGAGAGTGGAGACTATCTGAGAAACCATTTGTGCAAAGCCAGGACTAGAATGGCCAGTTCTGTCATAGTTATAACCTGCACTATCCCAAAGGCCATGCAATACAATGCCCATTTCATTTCATATATTTATATACCAACTTTCAACAAAAGTCTTCATAATCATACTTACTGTACGCCCTTTTAAAGCACAAAACAGCTCGCACTCTTCCCCTTCTGATGGGTTTAATTTAGCCCAGCTCCTACTGCCCGAAAAGGGTTCCGGTGGTGCCTTCACATGGATTTAGGCATCATTTGTGCTCACACTCTTCCCATGAAGCGCATCCTTTCAGATGTGGCTTAAGGAGGTGGGGCTTGGATTGGCTTTTGGTGGGCTGTTGTGTTATGGGAACAGCTGCATCGAATTTCTTCTTGATTTCAGGCCTTGAATGGGTTCAACTGTGACCCTAGTTTCTTTAGGGGTTACTTTATGGGGCTTATCTGTACTTTGGGACTCCTGATCTTTAAAATCAGCGGATGATTAAAGCTTGTACTTTTCCACAGTGGCTCCGTGGACTCCCTTCTAGTCGACAAAGTTTTAATGTCATCTTTGGCGAATGTCCGTATTGTAACAAGGTAAGAAAGAGTCATGCAGTTGCACAGGAACAACTCTAGATTTTCTTGTATGAACCAGATCCTGCTCACCTCCCATCTGGGTTCAGGCGGAAGCAGCCTAGGCGGATCATCTACCCAGGAAGTACATCTGCAGAGCCCGCTGGAGAAACCACTGACTGGTCTCCCCAGAACATATGGGTGATATAGAAGTCCTCTTGTGGCAGGTCATGTTCCTCTGTTATTTATCTCAAGGCCGGTGGCTTCTTGAGAAATGGCAGTTTTGGTAGTTACTGAATTTTGGAACTCCTTTCTGATTCACCTTTATAGCAGGTCTAAAGCTGTCTATTCCATCCAGCTCTAAAACTGTATTTTGTTTTTCAGTTTTAATGACTGACTCAAATTTGTATTGTGTCTTTAATCTTGTGAGGTTTTAGTAAATTTACCGTGTGTTGCCCCAGGCAGGGTAGCAGATGCTATCTATAAGTGTAATAAATACCTGGAGTGTATAAATGTTTCAGTCAGTGTTTCAAACTAAAATTGATATGTGTCATCATTCTTTGAAAGACTTCAGTATACACACTTGGATATTTCAAATGCCACTGACATGCTTTGGCATATGAAAGCAGGAGGAATCAAATTTGTAAACTAAGAATTAGGGGAAAATTCAGGGTTTTTGTATTAAATGCACTGGAGAATGTTGTAAGCAAGATTCAAGGAATTTACTACTTTTAATTTATTAACCTGCTTTGAAAAAATTTTCAGCAAATCACATTGAAGCTGTCGAAGAAAGTCTGAAATGGAATTTCAGGAGAAATGTATCTACATACATCTGCAATCTAGAAACATACATTGAAGGACCTTTTAAAGGAAATACAGAGAAAGCAATATTAAGAGGAAGAGGACTGCAATAGCCAAAATATATTGGTACAGTTCTTGACGCAGTACAAGCTGAGAAGTGCCGCATACAGAAGAACTAGTCAAAGCTTGAAAAGGTTCTGGTTGACAAATTGGTGAAGATGTAATTCCATTTTCTATAGATTTTTCTCCAATTTTCTGGAAGGTATTGTGGAAATATGTCCTGTGTGGTGGCTCTCTCTTTTCCTGAGGAAGGAGAAAACAATATATCCACCCTTTATTGGAAATTTGAATAACAGCAAATATTTAAGCCTATGCTCTGCCTCACAAAACTCATATTGCATAGCCAAGGAAGTATGGGACACAGAAGATTGTGCAATTTCTTAGAATTACTTTTGTCTGCAGGGAATATTGGAATATTTGCATGCCTCAGTGTAAAGCAAGGGAGTGTGCGTTCCAAGGGTACACTGCGTGTGTTTTCCCTTGGGTGGCATTATTGTTTGAGTACGAAAGACTTGATGAAGGGCCAGGTTCAGTCCTATGCTCTAGACGGTTTGGCCAGAGAATGTATGCCTTGCACCGCCATTCACTCATTTTTCCGTTAAGAGTTAAGCTAAAATTCCGTGTGGCAGGACAGTCTTTTTGTTTTCCCTGAAAAGCACATCAGTAACGCAGCCCTGCTCTCCTCCCCACAGCCTAGTTGCAGTACGCTAGAATGAGCCTTTTTACCACTGTTACCAAATCAGGCTGACAAGAGTAGGAACAGAGCAGCTGATTTTGAGCACTAAAGCAGAGTAAAAAAAAAAATGTAATCCCTGCGGGTACTCCCTGCCACCTCTGTGTAGGGAAGTTTGATTCCAAACCTTTATTCTTGCTGGATCGGGGGAGTGGGCTTTTGTCTTCTCCACGCCGTTTGAAAGTATGCATGCTCCACAAAGGGCTGGGAGGCCTTCCGTGGCAGGGCGCATGTGAGCCTGACACCCGCTGCCGTGCTCATTTACTGGTGCCCAGCCCGGTTTCTTCCCCCGTCTATTTCCTATGGACGATTGGCAGCAGCTCCGTAAAAAGGCTCTTCGCTCCCCCAAGCGCGGTGAGAAATGCTGCATGTGAGGAGTGGGGCTAAACTCCTTGGCAAGTCAGGGTTCTGCAAACCAGGGTAAGCATTCCGCAAGCACGCCACCTCTTCAGTTCACCAATCTTCTCTGGTGTGCATTGCTGCAGCCGGGTATGAACGAACCAGTGCAGACAGCAACGCACTTAAATGTGGCTGGACATGGGTGGAATGGGTGGGCAAAGCAAATTGGGTCTGGTTAAATAATCTAGAGAAGTTGTGGAGGGGAGAGCAAGCAGCCTGGTTTCTAAATTGCAGGAGAGCGAGTCAGTTCTGAAGCAGTTACAGTCTGAGAAGGCGGCTGTGTGATAACAGATTCCAGTATTCATGCAAATGCACACGTTAAGTTCTCCCAATTGCTTCTACCTTCTCAAAATGCATTGCCGGGAGAGGCAGTAATTGTTTCGTGGCACCTCCTCTCATAACTTCCCTGCTCATGGAAAACGTACATTTAAAAGAAGGTAACCATTATTTGTTTTCAAGTTCCTCATCTGCACTTAATATTTTTGAGGGGAAAAGCAGAGCTAGAGAAGCAAAGGTTGCAGCAAGTCAAGTACTATTTAATGCAGCAACAATAATAAAAACCCACCACTTCAATCCAACGAGGCTTGTTCAGTCCAGCCGGCACTTGCTTGCCTCGTCCTTGGCTGCTGCTTATTCCCACAGTGGCTTTTCTCCGATAGGCAGCTTCCCCGTGTTCCTTCGCACCTTCATCGTGTTGTGGCACTGGCTTTGCGGAACCGGCCTGCTGAATGCACAAGCGAAGTCCCCCTGAGTGGCGCTCGTCAAGTGCAGCAGCTGCTGCTGCACGGCCTCCGTTCCACTGAATGGGGCCTCAGTGGAGCCTCGAAATGAACGGCCATGCTTTAAGAGGAGGAGGTCCGCTTCTAGCAAAAGCATCACTAAGACTGCACTTGGCACGGGAAGGGCCAAAATTTACAAAGAATTCAAATTATATGGGGCAGCCGTTTTCTCAAGCTTTCAACTTGGATAATGCAGTTGAGCTATCCTAAGGCAACATTACTTGTACAAACTGTTAAAGAATTCTTGAAGAATTTGAGATGAATGTTATTAACCTTTACTGGATGTGAAACCAATACGTTTCTGTCAATTAAATTCTTATTAGCTATATCTGAATAATTTTTTATTATTGTGATGATTCTAATTAATGTCAATGCCTGAAATGAGAAAATAATCACTACTTATTCCATTAGTGAGTGATCTAACCCTCTAAATGGGGTGACCAATTTCCTCTCCTTCCCATAGCATGCCGATCGGCGTATTCTCAGGCACCCTAAGAAGCTGCACAATTACCTCCCTGCCCCATGCCTGGGACTCTGCAACATCAATAACTGTGTAGATGCACTGACGAACGCAATTCCCGTCTTCCTATCCTACTTCTGTTGGGCTTTTTCACCAGCCCATTATAGCGGCTGGGATGTGGACAGTGAGCTGCCCTGTTGAAGCAAGGGTTCTCCTGTGCTGCTCCATGAGTTTCACTAGGCTGACACACACAGGTCCGTTGCAACAGGCTGCAATGGTCCCAGTGTGTTGTCTCACTGTAGGGCCGAAGGGTTGTGGTAGGGAATTGGTTAAGCCTTCCCTCCTTTTTGCCACCCTGGTTGATGGATGCTGAGTTTATTTCTTCTAACTCAGAAGAAATCCAGTGCACCACCAGGCTATTAAATCAGAGGCCTGTTTCTTGAATTACTCTGGCCTATGTCTGCTGAGATCTAGGGACTCGCCTCAGCTATGCAAATCTCAAGGTGCGGAATGGCGTTTCTTCGGAGGCTGCGGTCGGCACGGGTGGCAAGCCACACCGAACGAGTGCTGCCGTCCAGAGCCCTGCCGGAGCAGCCCAAGGCCTGCTTAGTCCAGCGCTCTGCTTCTGGCAGGGGTCAGCATGGTGCTCCCCCCATTGCTGCGCCAATGTGGGGCTGGTGCCCCATGCCGTAACGCCTCTGAGCTGGAAGTTCTGTTAGCACAGCTGGCGAATCGTCATTGATGATGAATGTTTGCTGTATGAGTTTGCCTGACTCTCCTCTTTTAATTTCTAACATCTTTATCCTGCGTCTTCATCACTCAGGCACTTAAATTATAAAAACATCAAGGTAAAATTGCAAGCTGTAACACCTGCAAATGTAACTAAAGTAAGTTTAGTGTGTAAATTTGGGTTGCAAGGGCATGGACACTAGGATTTGTGGGATGTGGGACGGGGGCAGTCTGTCCTTGGCTAGTGACATCCTATTTAATGCCTCGGCCTGGCAGAAATTTCCACAGGCAAGAAGATGGTTCACGTGCCATCTGTGGGAGGGGCAAGAGAGGCAAGGGATTCTATGGATTCTTACCCCCCCACACACACACACCAGCAATATTCCCAAACACACCCAGTGGGAGGAAGTGAGCTATGCCAGCCCTGGAGCCGGCACCTGGCATCAACAGGAGGGAAAATACTTAAATAGAAGAGGGGAAAATTGCCTTTTCCTCCTCAGAGACGAGGCTATGGATCCTTCAGAGGCTCTGACATCACAATAGCCTGCCCCAACCTGTAGGACTGTTCTGCTAATTCTAGTTTAAAATGTCAAATTTCTCCTCAAAACACCTGTGCATTTGAACTTGACACTGAAAAAAATACAACCTTGTTTCCAAATTTACCTCTTTGGGAAAGCGAGTATCCATCACCACATCTTCTATCAGCAGATTAATCCCATAATACCAAAATGTCAGACTTTTCAACATCGAGCAGGCAAAATGACTTTTTAAATAGCTTTGCCCAGTATAATCACATCTTTCACTACCTTTCTACTGTACATTTTGAATGTGAATCATCCCCCCACTTCTTAGTGCTCTAATGCAGTCAGAACAGGAAGTCGGCACATCAGAACAATGTATTAGCATGTGGTCTCTCCCATTTACCCAAAATGAAGCTGCAAATTTGGAACAACCAATATTGCAAAATGCAACGAAAACAAGGCAGTCGGCAGGTCTAACTTAATCTGTATTACAATCCCAGCATATCTGATCACATGGCAGTATGGAAGATAATTTATCCTACTTCTGCTCCAGAATCTCTGAATTGCTGATTATCCCCTTCATTATATTCTGAGTAGGTAGTCTATTTTCACCTGCACAATTGCTACAGAATTGAGGGTGAAGCACAATGTTTTTCAAACTTGAAAGCAGTTGAAGCTTTTCATACAAGATTGACTTCTCTGTCTTTATTCTTTATTTACCAGTGGTTCACATGCTTTGGTTTTTAGAACAGCCCTCGAGTCAAAAACTGCTCATCTCTTGAAATGCGGGAATGGATTCCATGCTAACAGGCGACTATCTGAAGTCCCCATAAAAAGGCAGGGTGATGGGGACTCGATGTGGGGCATCTGGAAACGGCACAGTTCCCTCCCTGACCTGAAGAATTCTGCCTCTGTCTAAGGAATGGAATCCTTGCTCATGGAATTTAAACAGGGCTTTTCCTTTGCTATAGATCACACTTGTGTGCACTCAAATCTATCCAACATAGGTTCTAAACTGCACCACTCTGGCACTTCAAGATGAAAGAGAGAGCATGGGAAGGGAAGCTTGTCCAGTAGCATAGTAGATTTTTCAGGGAAAACCACATGACTTGTTCCTGTCCGGAATCCTTAAATGCCACTGGCAGGAGCTGGCCTTTCCATTTCAGAGCAGCCCCTCCAGCTGCCTGAAAACTACACCATGAGTCAAGCGCTGGCTGAGGGAGGATCACCCAAACTCGGGTGGCACGACCTTCTGTGAATGGAGCCTCAGCCCTCAGCCCCCTGATCCACTGGAACTGCGAAGCCTGGCCTTGAGAACTTCGTTTCGCCGCATCTCCTATCACCCTGTCCTCACCTCTAGTTGCTCTGTAAGAGGGGTGCTCTCTGCTGGCTGACCTTTGGATTAAGCACAGCCTCTCAAAGAAGAGCAACGAAGGCCTGCTTCCAGTCTCGTTTAAGCACACAGACTGTGTTGCACCTGCATGCAGGTGCGTGCATGCGCGCGCGCACGGCAGTGGCCAGCACATCATGTCTGCACGGAATATACTCTTAAGAGTCTGGTGTCCCTCACCACCAGCTCCGGCTTTTACTCTACCAAGGAAAGGGGGAGCACAGCCGAAGGCCTGTGGCAAGGCAGGGCCCACGCGTGTTCTACAAGTTCAGGGTCGGCAGGGAAAGGGTCCGGCTTGTTCCTCTTGATCTGCACAGCCCCCTCCCCACCTCCAAAGCACTGCATGGCAAGTTGCTTTGAAACAAAGGGACACTTTACAAGCAGCAGTCAAAGGACACTGGGAGGCCACGTGCCTGAAGGGAAGAATTCACTAGGCACCTACAAGGCTCCAGCAATTCTGTGTACCTGCAGCCTCTGCTCTGGCGTGCAACCAACGGAAATGTCTAACGCCGTTTACGATAAAGCATGTGGGAGCAGTCTGCAGTTCAAAACTAAGTTGAAATCCCACAGGGCTTGCCCAAGCTCCTAAAACACCTAAAGTAGCTTTTTGGATCACAGCCGTCATCTGTTTATGTAAATAATTACTAAATGGCTGTCTAACACAGTGCAGGGAACTTGGGCTGACTCGAATTCTCATTTCAGTCTTGCAACTCTGGGAAAAAAGTATACAACCCATAAACCAACTTATGAAAGGTTTATGAAAGCAGTGGTTCTGGCTTTGACATCTATGTTTTGTTCCCAAATCTGTGCTTTCTAGAGCACAAAAGTATCAAGTTGGTCAAAACCAGAAATGGTGAGCGCAGATGCTTTTTGTTTAAAAAATTACATATTTCAATTAACTTTAGAAAAACTCTACAAATTGCAGAAACCAAAGATGCCGCTCAAATTAGCATAGATTAAATGGTGACCACAACAGCAAGCAGCTACTCTCAAAGAAATGGCTTTTTTCTTTGTTGTAAAAGTGATTAAAAAATACCAAAGTCTATAAAACTGGGGGAAAGAAGTCTTGGTAATTACCAAGATCAAAATCCAGTGGCTTTTTATTAAACATGAACTTTTGTTCTGCTTTTCTGCACAACGTAAATAGTGCTGACAATTGGGTTTGCAAAGGCACTCGCTACAATAAAATGTAATTGTATCATGAGAGAAAGGTGACAATCGGGAGATCATGAAAAAATTACATATTCTCACTGGTAGTTAATTAGCCATGCAAAAGCCCCTCAAACAGAGATTCTCTTCTATTAGGAATGATTACTATGCAGACCTACAGATGTCAATACTAGAGTCATTCAAATACTTCTTTCGCTACTAATTGAAGGTTGTAAAGCTTCTGGTGCCAGGGTTTGGCTTCCAAAGAGCTAATTTATGACTAGGCGGCTATTTTATGTCTTCAGTTGTGGCGGCTACAAAATTCGGCAAATCAGAACCATCTGTGCATGGAGATTTGAATCGTCATTCATCTCGCAGCCGATCAGTCACATTAGTTTGCATCCCGCATTTTTTGGCTTGTGTACGATTGCAATGGTCCAAAGTTCACCAGGAATATTAAAAATGAATGACGCCTTGACCCTGCCTTATTGAATGTGCATCCACAAAGACTTCAGGCGCATCCATATGGCAGAAGACAACCACAACTGCTGTTTCCTATTGGGTCCAGTAAATGCTGCTAATCACATCAGTCCAATTTTATTAAAATAAAGGGGGTTTTTTTATTAACTGTCTGTTGGTAGACTCAGAAGGGAGAAAGTGAGGACTCTGGCTGTCGGAGTTAAACTTCCTCCTTCGTAGGCATTGACTGAAAGCCAAGAATTGTGAGGAAGCCGCCTTTGGAAAGCAAGAACAAAAACAGGACAGAAGAACCATGTGAGAGGCAGGGAAGAAAAGATTTAAATAGTTGCGCCAGTGATGGTAACTCTGCTTCTAACCTGCTCTGTAAGAAAGCTGGCATTCAAGCCTGTCCCATTTTGGAACTCAACCTGCACTCCTCTTCATGCCAAAAGCAAACGGCTCTACAGAACTTTCCTGCTCTGTGGCAAGCAAGCAACTGGAAGCGAGGATTCCTTATCCTTGCTTTTCAGGAAAACAAGCACTGGGGATGCTGCTTCTGAGGCAAAACTGCACCTAACAGCTCAGGTCATCAGCTACTTTCATGTCTAGAAACTGGGAGATGGGGAAAACACCCTCAACTACTGAACTGAGTTGGAATTACGTACTGCCAAAGCTTAACGGATGACCTTATCCCTGACGTTCGTCTAATTTTTAAGCAGGGGTGGGGTTTTTCTTTCTCGTAATTAATTTTACCACGCCAAAAAAGAAAGCACTCCTATACATATTTAGGCAGCAAAAAGGCTTGCGACTTCCAGCATTCTCCAGCCGGCCATTCTTCTCTCTACGCATGCTTACGGGGTTTGCTTCTGTGAATTTACTGTTTACAGAAGCAAAAACCAAGCAAGCAAGCAGTTCTCCCAAAACAAGAAAGCAACCATGTGATTATTTGAATTCTTCTATGCCCCAGTTGTTACTCCCCTACCCCCAAATATTAGATTTGGATTTATATTCTATTCATCCCGCCTTGACATCTCTTTCTATTACTTACTTTCCAGTATTTGGCAGCATGCTTGTTCGGAATGCTTTTAGTAGCAGTAAAATCCAGTACACCATTGTGTTCCAGGCCACTCAAGAGAATTTTCTTCAGAATTTCATAGTTGGGTTTTTCATTGTATGCTAGATTATATGCATTTTTCAAAAACGCAGCTATTTGGCCTGTAAAACAATGTTTTGAATGATTGAGATCAGAAATTTCCCATCTTCACACACAAGAAGAGGCCTGCAAGATCCGACCAAGAATATTCCATGTTCAACTAGAAGCCTTGAATAAGCAAGTCACCAACCTTTTTTTTAGATGCGAAGACATGTACATTTTACCAAACATTCTTGTGGTAACTCACACTGAGAATGCAGTCTCGTCTTAACATTTTAAGAGCACAATCCTTCACCTTCCTGGCATCAACTCTGGATTCCCCGGAGTCCAAATCCAAGCCTCATAAGGAAGGTGTGGCACCAGGGAATGTTGTGTACCTTCTTGTTGTGTGGGGGCAATGGGATTCCAATGATCATGGACACGCCTAGCGGGAACTCAGTGGCAGTGAACTTGGATTTACGTCATCCTCAAGGAAGGCGTTTGTGAAAATTCATGGTAGTGCATATAAGCAGCTGACTTAGGCAATGCAGGCGACACGAACCAAATCACTCGGTTCATGAGCGTGTGCAGAACTGCGCCTTTCAGCATTTCGGGTGACTGTAAAAGTGTTGGTGCAGCGTGGCACTACAACCGCACCAGCTGTTGCCGTTGTGCATGGTGCCTGTGTGCATGGCATCGACACGTGTGAGAGGTCTAAGCTGGGCGAATAACCCAGAGCACAGGGCAGGTTTCGTCCGCACTGTGCTGCAGACTTGTATGTTTGCCTACAGATGCTGCCAGAAGCAAAATCCAAAGTGTGAAGTGTGCAGCTTTCAAAAAGACAAGGGGCACAGACATGGCAGCCCAGGACTGAGAATTCAGGACAGTGCTGACCACAGAGGGCTTATGTCTTTAGGAAAGAACAGAGAAACAAAAGCTTGCAATTCGTACTAAGTGTTGCAGTTCACAAGCTGATAATTTGAGTCAGACGCAGCCTCTCTGCTGTTTATCGCCCTCTCATAATCTGTCTTATTGGGATTTGCTCTGTGCCTACATGTTGTTCTCACTGTACACATCCAGAGATGCGGCAGATAAATCAGGAAAGGCTGAGCTGCTAATTAAGAAGACGGCAGCCACACTTCCAGCTTAAAGCAAACCAAAATGGATAAACAAGGAAGGAAAAACTCCTACAAACAGGAAATTAAAACTAAAATCGTAAAACGGAAGTAAAACAAAATATCAAATGAGACAAAATACATAAAAAGCCAGTGTGGTGTCGTGGTTAAGAGCACAGGACTGGGACTCAGGCGGTCTGGGTTCTCAGCCAGTTCCTTGGCAGCGAAAACGGCAGGACAGAAATATAATAAAGAAAATTTTAAATGGTGAGATGAACATACTCAGAATTTAACCATACCATATAATTAAGACGACGATGTGGCACCTGAAACGTAAAAGTGAGGAAGTCCCTGTACCATGAATGTTACCTAGAAACCTTGTGATGACTGACCACGTTTTGACCCAGCTGAAAAGTCCAGCTCACCTTCGAAGGCATCCCCACATCCAATATGCTGCAGTAACCTAACTATATATGACAAGGGATGAAGGTAATGCGCAGCCATATGCGTTTGGCCCCAGGGCAGATTCTTTCCGCAACAAATCAGGAAAAGAGCATTGCAAGCAGCTTTAAAAAAAGCCTAATGCTGGAGTCCTGATCAAAATTCTCCTGCCTTTTACTCTGACCCCAGTGGCTGCTTCCAACCTTTCCAAAATTCACAGGAAGGCCTGCCTCAGTGGAGTCACAGATTTCCTACCTCAGGTTTAGTTTGGCCTCAGCTCAAAGTGACCCACAGAAGCCATGCAAGCTCCTGCTTGGAACTGAACATTTTGGGCACTGCTCCTGTCCAAATGTGCCTTTACAGTATTAATCCCAATAGAAGCTCCACCAAAAACATGTCTCAGCCCTGAGCCTTCTCCCCATGGTGGCAGTTCCTGATTCGGGGAAACCTTTCTGTATTTTCCCCGAAGCAGCAAATGGCGCCATTTTCACTATTTTCTCTCTCTCAGAGCCTTCAGACTCAGGTATTCCGCTTGGTTATGCACGGCTGGTGGGTACCCCGTAATTGTTGATATTCCTTCAGAATCAACAAGAAGCCCTACAAAGTAACGTAGGTGAGGTTTTTCAGACACCGATATGAATATGGAGCAGGAGTTTATAGGAGACACAACCCCCGGTTCTACATGGTTATTTTTGTTACTCGCAAGTTCCTTTCTAAAATGTCCATTTCTGCTTTTCAAACAGATGCTGCACTTCAGTAGGATGGGCTAAGAATCCTGATTTGTGAGTCTGCTTGCTGTACGGAATCCCAATGTGTGATGGAATTAATGCGAATCCCAGGGCCTGAAAGGCAATGGAAGCAGAGAATTCTGTCACTGTGACCTTTAGGGGCAAGATGCATTGGAGCCAAGGTGGCAACCGAAGGGCAGCATCAGCTTCACTGTCCTGTGGCAGACACACGGTGTCCTCCTCCTGAGCCTTTCCTTGGTGAAGCTGGCGGCTCCATACTGGCTTCAAGGCCTCTCGCACCACCTGGGGTGCCATTTATTCCCTCTTGCAGTTATGGCTTGATAAGATGAATATACAGAAGCCTACAGAGGCGGCCATCCCAGTTTCTCAGCCTGGAGAATATTATGCCCAGGTAGTTGTAGCCGTGAGGCTGGAAGGGCCTACCATGCGTGGGAACACCTGTATGCGGGATGCAGTGCATTCCATGTTTGCGCACAGCTGTGGTTTGGGCCAGGAAGAGAAGGTCTGTAGACTCCCCGTGCCTCCTCCATTCGCCTACTTCAGTGTGGATATGGACCCTTCCTCCTCAACCCCCCAAAGAATTTCTGGAGCGTTCCAACACGGCACGGACGTTGTGCTGCTATTTTAGACTCACACCTATGAAGTACACGTGCCAGGCACTTGCGTCCACAAAGCCACGCAGTTCTGGGGGCCTTCCCCAAGCACGGCCTGCTGCGAGCCGTCCAAAGTGGGGGCACTTACCACAGTCCGATCCTGGAGGCGCCCTTCTTGTCACCGAATCGGGAAGTTCATCCAGGAGCCTGAAACCGCAAGAATGCATCGAGGGTGAGACGGGGAGGCAACGGAAGAAATGCTCCTCTTGGCAGGCAAGACCGCTAGATGACTCTTCCTCCCTTTGGGAACGGAGGAGACCTCCTGAGCAGCTAGCAAATCATTCCCCCCTCCGCCCCACCTTCCCCCACAATTTTAACCCTTTGGAGAATGCAGCTACAAGCACGGCAATGGCCTGGGCAGAATTATGACCAAGGAAATGTCTTCAGTCTCGAGAGCTTTTGCCTGGTGCTTTGTAATTTTATGGGAGGAAGAAATCCCCCTCTGGGATGGATTTGCTTTCTTTAAGTCCAAAGATTAATGATTGCCTTTTTGAAAGTTCACAGTTCATCTGGCTGCTTCTTGCTGCTCACAAGTTAGTTCTATGTACGCATGATACCACCGCGATAAATTACAGGGCAAGCCAACTCACAAGTAGTGCCACTGAGATCTATTTATTTACGTATTTGATGTATAAGCCTCCTTTCGACCCAGAAAGCGGGGCTCAAAGCAGCTAATGGGCCTCCAGGTGCCATCCTCCCAGGTTAAGAGGGTACAGGAGGCTAAGACTCTGTGGACCTTACTCCCAGGTGAGCATACAGAGCTTCACAGCTTGAGCTAATACTTCTAAAACTGCACCATATTAAGCCATTACAACAACAGCCAGGGTGTGCGTATTTGGTCAACGGGTGGAGCAAGGGATGCCTGCACTCGAGAAGAGCCATGCGCAAAGACGGTGCCCAGATTTCAACCACAAATTGCCTGCCTCTTTTCTACAATGTCTGAAAACACCCCTCGCAGACTCAACAAGTGGCAGAAGTTCCAGGAGGCGCGTTGATCACGTAATTTCAAACCTAGGTGGACTCTAAAAACGTTACAGGAAAGACTATAACTAATTAATTTGTTTTCTTCTTTAGCGGTGGAAAGACTTTCTTTTTACTCCTTAATAGAAAGGCATTTTTTAAAAAGTTGATAAAGGAAGGGTAGGCCCATAAGGGGATCGTCAAGGCTCCATTTTTTCCCTAGGAAGTCTGAAATGGCTGCCATTGTTTGCCATGACATTCTGTAACAACAGCTCCTAATTACTTCAAGGAGTCAACCACTGAACTTCCCAGAAGCTGAGTCTCCTAAAATTTTCCTTCCCAACTTGTCTGCTGATTTCTTGAGCAAACTTACACAAAAGGCAATTCGCCATGGTGCCAACACTTCATCATGTTAAGAAAAAAGAGCAACGAATCAAGCTTATGGTTCCCTTTGTTGCAGCTCAGGGAAATACGCACACCTTGTTTCCCAAGGCTGGAATTCAGAAACCCTAAACAAATCATCTTTGGCTACCTTACAGAGCTCACCAGTCAACTGAAAAGGAAAAGGAGGAAAGCAGAAACTACAACATGTGATCCTGCGCTTGCAGCAAACATTCCTGCCTCGGTTTTCAATTCCCGATAGACAGACAGCCTGGACTCAGACCAGAACACGTGATCCAGGAAGAGTAGCGGCAAGAGGGGAGTGTCTGGGCTGTGAATCTGCTTGCTATAAAGTGTCTTCCAGGAAATCGTTTAAGGATCAAGACCAACACATTTTTGCACTGCGGCAAAGGCAGATTTGCACACACAGTCCAGGTGGGAAAAATGTCTAGCAAGTTGTACTGCTGCAAATATGTACATTTGTTCTAATTACACGATGGTAGAAAGATGTTCCACAACCCTCCACAGAGTGAACTGAGGGCAAACATGCAGAGGGTTCCACTGTGGTTGTCCTGAAATAGCCCAATTCTGTGCACATGTAAGGTTTACTGAGCATTCCTCTTAAGACCATTTTTGTCAGCCGCAAATAAGGCAGCCATGTCTTCCTCTGGTGCTTAAAAGGGGCATGCGGTAGTCTTGCATTTCCAGAAGCAAACTGGTGGGAGCAGGCTATCGATCGATCAATCGATTGATCCATCGATCAAGCAAGCTGCCCAGTGGCATTACTTCCCATAGGCTTTTCCCAATGGTCCGGTCATCTTCATTAGAACCTGCAGCAGGAGCTGCTTAGGACCCCTTCATGCATCCTCTGCCAGAGGGAAACTGCTCACAGGACATGTGATCTGGCACCACCTGCTTTCCTCCAGCTCCACCCTGGGAGAACATGACAGTTCTACATCAGCGGGCTGCGCATGGTGCGCCAGCGGCCGACTCCCTCCTTCTCCACAGGCCTGCTTCCAAATACTCCAGAAGTGTCATTAAATGGCCACTTCAGACATGTCTCAGAGTGCTAGACAAAGCCCTTTATCTTCAGGAAAGTCAGTGCATTTTGGCCCAGATTTTCTTTGGGGACTTTCGGGAGGCTATCTTGGAAGGACCCTTCAGAGAACTCCTGAAAGTAGGCCTCATATTGAGGAACTGGTAGTTTTGTTCAGCTGCTGCTGTTAGAAAAATGTAGTGTATTTATGTATTATTTTGAAACGTAGGCTTTGAGCGGTAGCAAGTGAGAACTGCAACAGAATGCTCTGGTCTTCTGTGTCCCCACACAGACTTCTCACCAACTATTACTTCTTGCAGGGTCAAATGCACTAGGGAGGAGGAGGAAGGAACAGGAAATGGTGCTGGCACGGAACTTCTGCTGCAGGGTGGGAAGACGAGCTGACGCATGAACCAGAGCGTGCAAAGTCACATGCACCTGTGATTCTATGTAGGCCCCGAACAGGTCTTGAATCCTCCTCGAATCCGCAGGACAGCGCCGAGCCCCTCCATCCCCAGCCGGCCATCACACCCCACACCAGTTGCTTTAAAAATCACGCCACAAGCACCCCGATGCTGCCCGCCCAGTCCTTGACCCCAGGTCGCCCTCCCATGAGCCATTTCAGCTAATGGATCATGGGCAGCGTTCCAAGCACCACACGCTGAATTCCCTGGCCTCCGCCTCTCCCATGAGGCTGCCAACATGACAACTTTTCCAGTTGCTAATTATGCTTCCGTCACTCCCATGGCTGGCTCAGAAGGCCCAGTGCTTCCTGGTTCCTTGGAAATTAAAGGCAATGATTAGAAGACCTCATTTCTTGTTCCTTTTTTTTAAGAGAACACTTCTGTTTCTTTTCACAACGCTTTGCACCCATTTGCAACCACAAATTAAAAAAGCCAAACAAAACACAGCTTCTCTTTCAAAGAAGTGCTTCAAAGAAGGCAGTGGTGTTTAACATGGAGTACTAAGCCACAAAACAAAGTTGAACCAACCCAACGAGAGTTTGGAAGAAACTACACTTCTATCTATGTACAACAACTTTGTTGTTTTATGCCAGAAGGGACATGACAAGGGTGATGTGATGGTTGGAAGGTTGGACTGGGACTTGGGAGATCTGATTTCTAGTCCCCACTCAGCCTCACTGGGGGCATCTGGCCCAGTCATGGACTCTCAACCTAACCTACCTCACTAGGTTATTGTTGCTGTTGTTGTTGTGAGGACGAAACAGAGAGGCGAAGAACTTTGTAAGCTGTCATGGGTTCCTTAGAAAAGGAAGAAAGATGGGGAATAAATTTAATATAAAAATGACTTAGATGTATCCGAGAACCCGGGGTATGCTCAGAAAGGTTGGAGCTGGCAGAAAGGTACTTCCACTCACTCAGGGCAACACACCCAACTCAGGGGGCTGTGACAGATACAAGGCCCTGGCAAAGGCCAGGCCCCCCTCCTTGTACACACAGAGATGCTTTCAACTAGTGCAAAGCCACTGCTGGTATTTCTTGCACAGCAGCTCAGACAGAGCCAGACCTGATGTTGAATGGAGACCCTCAGAAGGCAGACAGAGAAGGGATTCCGAAGGAAGGAAGGGTCTGCCGTGGCCCCGTCCCTCCTTCTTCCCACCTCCCCTTGAACAGTATCTACTGCAAGGTGTTCAGTATTTCTACAAGTTCTTGGGATGGGAGCCACCCAAAGCAGGTGGGAAGCGTGACCGGCACCAACAAGCCCTTCCGGTCCGTGGGCAACGCCATGCCAGCGCCCCTTCAGCCAAGTCCAAAACTGTATGCATCACACACCGAAGCCACACGGCACCCTGACTTTTTGTCCAATCAGAGTTCGCCTATTGGAGACACAGGGCTGTGTGGGTATCCAGGGCCTAGCAGAGCAGCTGCGGGATTATGTGGGTTACAGTTTGGCATCAGCAGAGCTCACCCTCTTGGGAAAGGATGGCCTTGAATTTAGGCAAAGGCAGGCAATGAAACAATCTGGGTCCCCAACCGGCCCAAGCATCTACCCAGCACTGACAGAGCGGCGGGGAGGGGCAAGGCTTTGGCGGAGAAAGACAGCCAGATCTGAGCCCCAGGCTAGTCCCTATAAAGCCCCATCAGGCCCTTAGTGATGGTCGCCTGCAGGCTGAACATGAGCCAGCAGAGTGACGTGGAGGCCAAGAGGGCGAACGCTCCCCTTGGATGCACAGCCAGAAGAGTGGCTTCTAGATCGGGAGAGGTATTACTACCACTCTATACGACTCTGGTGCGCCCGCAACTGGAGTACTGTGTTCAGTTCTGGGCCCCTCATTGCAAGAGGGATACAGCCAGGCTGGAATCAGTACAGCAAAGGGCCACTAGGATGGAGGCTGGTTTGCAGGGGAAGCCATATGAGGAGAGACTGAGGGAGCTGGGTTTGTTCAGCCTGGAGAGGAGGAGACTCTGAGGGGACCTGTTAGCAACATACAGGTATGGGAGGGGGAGCCACGCAGAGGTGGGTCCTGACCCTTTTTCCCTGCAGAGGAGGGCAAGATGCGTTCCAATGGCAAAGCTCAGGGAACCAAGATTTAGGGTGGATGTCAAGAAGTACTGCCTGATGGTTACGAGTATGGAATGGGCTTCCACGGGAGGTGGCCGAAGCCCCCTCGGTGAGGGTCTTCAAGGATAGGCTGGGCATGCACATGGTGGGCAGGCCATAAGTGGAGCTGGCTGGAGCCAGGGGTCAGACTAGATGGCCCAGGAGACCCCTTCTGACCTGCTCTGTTTCTGTTTCTGTGTTTTGTTTCCTGCCACTCAAAGCACATGCACACAAATCAGTCTCCCACCACCTACACAGCCTGCCCAGATTCCTGGCTTGGCTGCAAACTGAAATTGGCCCGTGCACACGAGCCATTCTGCAGAAACTGCCTCTCGCTCAGTTCTAGCCCGGCCTTTCGACGTTGCATCCCCAACAAACCTGGGAGCACGTACAGAGTGCAAATGCATGGGCACACACACTCCCCCCATGGGAAGAGGGGGAACCCGACCTTCTGTTGCTGCAGCTTGTGACCACCTGGTCACATTACAAACACCCACGCGGGCGCCTGGCAAACAGCACAGGGCTGCCCAATGGGCTGGTAGCCCAAAAAGTATTACCCAAAATACATTCCCAGAGCAAGCTGTTCCTGCCACGGAATAAAAGCTTGAATGCAATCTGCAAAGGGCACCAGCTTTGTCCCCGTACAGCTCCATGGCTAGAGGAATGTTTTCCAGCCACTTCTGGGCTCCACCTGGTTCAACCCCAGCCCAAGGGGGGGATTCACCAATCTAGATTATCCTGCATGAAGTTTCTTGTTGCTTCAAATCCATTAAAAGCATTGGATAAAGAGGACCTACTAGCAGCCTATCCAAACTTCTCCAGTTACCCAAACTTATCTCCTTAAATTACAAGAACTGAAAGAAAACCCCACATGCTTGGGGAAGCTGAAGGCAGGAGAAAAGGAAGACCAAATGCGTGTTGGAGGGACTCAGTCAAGGATGCCACTGCCATCGGTGGGGCATTTTGGGGAGCTTTCATACCCGGGATTGCCACAGGTCAGGGTTCCACCTCTGAGCTATGCACCTTCCTCCAATCATCCCTCGTTTCCAAGGTAAAAAGTGCAACAGAATGAAAAATGCCATCCCCGTTCAGCTGGGGTCTTGGAGTTAATTCCTGGCAGTAGAATTAATAAAGAAGCTTTGTGGATTGCACGGCCTGGATGGCGAATTGCATGAGGGGCTGATTGTGGGGAAGTCTGAAAGATCGGAACTTCTAAATGGGAAGATATTAAACAATACTGCGTGAAGTCAACATTTACCGATGCAATCTGTATTATCCGCAGCCTGCAGGCTAACCTTCCTTTCTCTCTGCAGAGAACCACTGCCGAACGGAACATGCAGATTGATTTCTGCAGATCAGCTGTCCCTGTCGTGCACCTCTGTTGTGACTTGCCCTACTTAAAAGTTCCCTGCCTTTGCCACTTGGAAAGGAGCAGTGTGCCAAGGAAACGGCTCGGTGGGGCCACAAGAAAGCAGCTCGCTCGCGTCTTACCGGTAAGGGCAAAGATGCAAACGGCACACGGTGCTGCTAGACAGGCTAATTACAGTATCCTTGCAGGCGTGTGATATACATTCCAATATTTCACACACAAAGTAAAAAGTACAGGCAACCATGAAGCCAACACTCAAAGCCAATAAAATACAAAACTTTACCAACACGGATTCCAGAGTGTCGCTGGATGACCTGAAAATTGGTGGGGCTCTCAAAGGAGCCCTTAGTGAACTTCTTCTGGATTGGAAGGACATGCAGAAAACGCATTTTAATTTTAACCCCAGTTCGCCAGTCCTTCAGTACTAGTAACATCTGTCCAGAGAAGACTGGTTCTTCCATGGACTAAAAATATACTAATGCTATTGATTAAGTATTGAAAATCTACATCTGTTGGCCGGTTTGATAAGCCAGGCTTGTACCAAGCAAGCTCTGTCTCTGTGGCTGGTGGAAAAAAAACAAGTGCAGGGCCAGATACCAATATTCTCACCTGCTTGGCTACCTTTTTCGTTGAGCGCCTGAATGGAGCACATGGCACACCTGTCTGAGAATCTACAACTTCTGTAACTTCACTCTCAGTCAAACCAGCAAACACAGGGTCCCATCAAGCCCAGAACAGCTTTGCCTCTTGTGTACTGGACCGCACAAGAACTTGGCTGTCTTAAGTAAGAAAAGTCCCATTGCTTTCAATGGGACACAGGCCCATCTTTAGCTCAGCCAGGACAAAGTAATGTTTCGCCCACCAAGGTTTACGCTTATGAATATATTTGCAAAAAAGCGAAATGATTACTTCTAGGTAAGCAGGTCCTCTTGATGATCCTTAACATTTCTTGGGCTTGTAAATAAATGGGTGAAATATTAGTAATCTAGTAGGATGCAGCGAATAAAAACATGTAGGAAGACACGTGGAGATTTCTCTTTGCTTTGTACAGTCCGGCCTCCGGAATGCCAAAAGCAGGGCTGCAGGTCACCATTGCTTTAAAGCAATCCCAACATTTGGGGGCGAGGTCGCCAAACCATTTTGCTAAGCCAAGCAGAATGGGGCAGTCTGTTAACCTATTCAGAGCAGATCTGCATGGCGGCACGGAGGATAAAGAGCTGGATTACTTATTTTAATAATTAATTTATTGTTGTTACTGCCTTCATATTCTGTTCGTTACTGTTACCGGTTATATACTTTGTTTTTTAGCAATCATGACTGTAAATTGTTCTTGGCTTAATCTTATTGTGCTAATGGCTTTTGTTTTCTATTTTAACTGTTTGTAAACTGTCCAGAGAGCCAACTGGCTATAGGTATGGTATAGAAATATTTTAAATAAATGAATGAATGAGCTGGGTAGAAGAGGATCAAAAGCCATGGAGAGCTGCCTCGGATTAAGCATGAATATAAGTCAACTGCTCATCTTGCAGCGCTCTTCTGAACTGTGGGCGGATTTCAACTGTAAGCTGCTTCGGGGGCCTACTTTGGGTAAAAAGCAGAGTCTAAGGTGAATGAGGGAGCGAATGAATGGCCACGGAGAACTCCCTGGAGGGAGTATGGATACATACATATATTCCCTGAGAAATATTCACAGAAGAAAAAATGCTTTACTCTTCTTTTGCAGCCTGGACAGCATCCGGGTTCTTCACGCCACCTTCCCAGGGCAGAGTCCCACACATCCACTGCATCATACAGTAGCCGAGTATTTCGAGGTCCCCTCGTCTGGACGGCGCTAAATGGAAGAAGAGAGTTTCCAATGAAGTGGGAGGGAAAAGCGCCATGAGCAGTCAGCCGGGCTCCCCCCAGCCCGCCCACCCCCCGGCACGCCGAGCACACACTTTTTCAGGAATGGAAACGGCAACACTTAAAGCTGCAGTGAGAGGAAACAGGGACGCAGGCATCACTCTGCCGTGTTTGTTCAGCTGCCCCAAGAACCCTGCGCGGCCCGGCTTTTGGCCGCGGTCCACAGATAGGCGAGGATTTGTTGCTGTCGAGAGAAAGGGTCAGTTTCCTCCACTCCGACGGCTTCGCCCTTCCCTTCCCTGGGCCTGTCACTTGAACTTGATCTCCGTGGCCTCTGACATGATCCAGAGAGCCCCTGCGCCAGCACCAACACTTTCTCCAAGAGCCAGGCAGTAAAACAAAGAAGGCTAAATTGCTAACACATGTTCCAGGAAGTCCATGGGGTCCACATTGGTCATGCAGAGACCCTTCGAGAGCAGACTAAACAGAGATGGTCTTTCCTGCTCTGCTAAATCGGAGCCGGCTGGCGGTGGACGGCATAGCAACAGTGCCCTCTCGTGGGCTTGCGGACGCCGACGGCACCGCTCGCCGGAGATAAAGCCGTGCTGGAAGCATCCACCCGCTCGGCTCCTTGGCTGTCGTTACGTGGAAACTGGGTTTCGGTTCCAAATCATTAAAAGCAAACAGTCTAAGGTATGAAGTCAGTGCCGGCTGCCTTCCACACACACAACTTCCTCTCTCTTCGTTCCCCCTCTCCGTTTTCCCCTGGTGACCTACACACACAACATGAATTCCAGACAGATAAGTGGAAATCACGCGCGGGAGGGCAATTCCCAAGAGCAAAGGTTGTGCTGGGGCGAAAGAGACAAATTATCCGACGACGCTCCTAATCCATGGCTATTTTAAACTTCATTTCCCAGCCCACCGCCCTGGAAACAGAGAAAACAAAGACGGAACTGAGCGTTTTCTACGGTGCCTTTTACAAGCCGGCTCTCGAGTTCAGTAATGAAAAGGGCACAGGGGCTGGACAGAAACCCTGGCAAAACCTACAGTTTAAAAAGCAGATGTTGTTGCCAAAGGCAGCCCTGCTTTTTCCACCACAGTCTTCCCCCACGGGGGTGCTACAGAAGTGCCGGAGTGCAAGTCCTGCGGCCAACAGCGCCCCGACTGGGGATGCTAGGAGTTGTGGTCCAGGACATCTGGAAGGTGCTGTTTTACACTTCCTTGTTCTCCATCTGCTTTTTGGCACAAGGTATATGAGACTTTGAATCCAGGAAGGGGACAGAGGGAGTGTATAAGGCTGAGGACCCTCAGAGGATAACGACCGTTAACCCAACAGATACTGTATTATGAACTTTCATTAAAGGCTTTCCAACAGAGACCTCCCCAACACAGTTTTTAATTATAAAAAGCAACTCCTCAGAAGTCCACTTCTATTAGAACTCTGCTCCTGGCACCCAGACACCCCAGTATGATGAAAGCACATAAATTCTTACATCTTCTCTCTATATTAACTGCCTGCTACTCCACAGAATTATGGAAGGCCCTTCAATCTATCTAGCACAATGGCGTCTTATCCCCATGGGGGCCGTTGCATCTTATGCTCCATTCCACCATGTCCTAAATCCAAGCGCTTGGTTACTTGTATAAAAGAAAGCAAAAATTTTAACACTTCCCTTTCTATTACCAGTTCTCAGCGGTGAAAGTAGAAGCAAATACTTCTGTTTCCATTCCACGCAGCATGTCCTCACTGCAGCTAAAGTTTCCTCCACCTACTGCCTGTTTATAGTGGTCCTTCAACATCATTCCCTTGGACCCCTTTCCTCCTTTCCCTTTGCGCTTCTCTCCCACCTCTAGATGAGGACATAAGCTGGTATGAAGTCGCAAGTAAACAGTAAGTCATTCCAATTTCTCAACTGGCTTTCAGGAGAGAGAGAGGTCCAGGATTTATTCTCACCACTTCAGTAGACTTGGTAACAACACCGAACTAATTTTACTGATTTTCCAAATGTCAGGCCCCACAACCGGTTTCTCTTTGTGATTTCTGTACTTATTTAAAATTGGACATTCTGGAACCTGGCTTGTCTTCTACTTTCTCTGTTCACTAGCGAGGAAAAGGGGGAGCTACCATTGCCTTTATTCAATATAAGTATCAAATATACTCAAGAAATGAGTACATAAAACTGCCCAAAATGAGAAGGGCAAGAACGTATGATTAAGGATGCCTTTAGAAAAGCAAGCTGGTTTAACACCAAATAGAAAGTTACGTAGTACCTGACATTTATCGGCCTGCTTGTGTGATTTTTCAGTTTGCTATCTTGGATAAAGCCTGCCCAGTTTTCAATGAAAAATAAATGAACAGAAAGTTACATTTGACGTACGTTGCACCAGGCCAGAATCCACACCCCATGCTAACAGCCGATGCTTTTTTGGCTCTGATCTCACATTTCCTTAACTAGGTTGGTGGCTGTATGGGTTTAATAGGAAGTCTGACGAAGGATCATACTTTGGATACCAAAAAATAAGACTGATCAAGTCAAAAGGCAGAATTACTGGGGTTCCCCGTCCATTTCCAAAAAGATAAATTTGTGTTTGCGAGCGAGAGAAGGAAAGAGAACACGTTGCTTCATTTTTAAGACCTCATAAACAAAGTAAGAATTCTGATAATTTCATGTCTCAAAAGTCCAACATTTTCTCACTATAATATGTCACTTTTACAGGCCTGTATTTCTCCAACAAGAAACCCAACTCTCATTCAGAATCAGAATGTGTTCCATTTCTCCATGGACAAACAGGTTTCCAGCCGGAACAACAGGGAGGAGATCCTTGCTCAACAACAGCATAAAAATCTTGAGTGACCGTTCTGAGCCAAATAAGCATTTCTGCATGGTGGTGCAAGCCATCTAGTAATAGAGGATACATTTTGATATGCATTTTAAACCTATACGTTTTATAATGCATGTCACATCAAATTATTAGAAAAACTGGCATTCCAGAAGCATATTGTTATTATTTATTATTATTTATTATTTGTATACCACCTGGAACTGAAGCTCTCTGGGAGGTTTACAACAACGTGTAAAAAACAATAAAAGATAATAGATAAACCTGATTAAGAATAATTAAAATTAATTTAAAATAGCATTAAAGCTTTAAAACAATAAAAAGACAATTTCGAAGACCCAGCCAAGAGTAAAAAGACACCTGGCTAATTGTGTCAGGCCCCTGAATGACCAAGCAGGTCTTCAAAAGCCTCCACAAAGAGGACTGTCTTGACCTGATGCAACAACGATGGCCAAGATGGCGCCATGTGGGCCACAGCTGTGAAGTTATTCCAAAGATGGGGGCTGCCACCAAAGAGGTCCTCCCCCAGCTGCCACCCTCCAAGCCTCTCCTGGAGGAAGGCCCCAGAGGCTGAGCATAACCGCCTATAATCCTTTTTCACAGCCATGGCCCAAAGCATGTCTGCCGTGTATAATTCCTGCAGCAGTATAAAAGAGCAGAGCAGCTGAGGACATAGGGCAGCCCAAACCAAACGGAGAGCCTCGAACAGCCTAGTCAACGGGAGCACAGACTGAACCCACAAAAGCTAGGAGGCTGAATTGTTTGGGGACCCTGAGCAGAGCTTTGAAAATGCCTCTGCTTCTTGTGCAGTTACCCCATGCAAAGGCAGAATCGCGCGGGAGATCGTGAATTCCTTTAAGCTCATGCACAGGGAGCCCTTCGCGCCAAAGGGCTTTAGCATGTATAGAACTGGATGAGATCATAAGCGTCCAATCTGGCAGGCTGGGGTGGAATGTGGGGAAAAGCAGCTGAAAAGGGGCAGAGCTTCCCCACTATGCAAATAAGCCCATAATTACTTATTCTGAGCAATTCTTCTAGACTCCAAGGACCAATATGGTTAACATGCATTTTATATATAAGCTGCACCCATTTTATTTCGATTTTCAAAATAAAAGCATGGACTACACACTACGCAAGCGTACTGAGGTTACGGGTCAGCGCGGAATTCTCTGACTCTGAAGGTCAGGCAGGCACCGAAGTCGCATTTTTCCAAGTGACCCCTGAAAGCATCCCTTTCTGAGGAGCCTCTCGCAGTTGACCGGTAACGATTTCCTTTGTGTTCTGTTTTTGAGAACTTTAAATATATCATTTTCTTATATCTTTTAATACCATAGTTTGCTTCAGCAAGAGAGCTGCACTGAAGCCAAATCTTAGCATCTGTAAGTTCCAATAGCGGCTGCTAGGGAAATGCAGCCTAAGGGTAGGAAGTCAGGTATCTCTCCTTCCTCCTAAACCACCATGGCAGAAACAGGTGTTCAAGGCAGATTCTCCTGCACGTAGCGACTGGCACTTCTCAGCCGCTCTTTATTTGATGCCATGCCCTGGGATTCAAGACGCTTGGCCTGCCCTCTTCTTCAAATGCTAGTATTCTCACTCATTTTTCCTGCAGTATTTGAAACTGTCTGCTTCTCCAGGATACCTGGCTGAGTTCTCTGGCCTTGGCATTTAAGTATCTGCTGAGGCTGTTCTTGTTGTCGTTAGCAACTTGCAGACCACCTCCACCTAACGTCTAATGCAGGACAGTACATACACCGAATGAGCGATGAATCCTTAAAAGGCAGCTGATCATGTCATCTTGCCTACCACATGCAGCCGGACGAGCGGCTGGGCGCAGGCCCGGTCCCACGGCTCTCCATCTGTGCAGGGCATCGATCCACAGCACGGCGGCAGGGCCCTTGCTCTGCGAACACCTCCTCGTAAGAGGCCCTGGCATCAACCTGGAAACTCCAGGTAAACAGGCTGAGTTCTGCCTGATGTGAAAAACCAGATACCCCGGAAAGCCAGTCTGCGAGATCCTGTTTCTCTGTTTGTATGAAAGTGTGCGCTAAGTACAAAGGCTTTGATCCAACCTGCTCCAGGCTGAGACTGTGGAAGGGAATCCAGTCCAAGGAAAGTCCCGTAAGTTGCCCTGTACAGCAAGGAGGC